TGGAAAGGGGTCGGAAAGGATTATTTATCCTTTTTTTAGTTACCCAAAACACAGAGCTCTTTGGGAGGGCTCAGAAATGGGGGAGGTGAAACTGGGGAAGACAGGATTTCTTTTGATGCATGAATTAGGATATTCCAAGGTTTCCAGGGAATTGGGGGGGGGGAGTTTGATTCAGTCCTACAACCATAATTTCTGATGAGAATCAGTCAACTGAACAATATTCTAAATTCCAAACTTAGGAACCACCATGTTCAAACCGTGGCCACTAGGGCTTATGTTTCTCATGCGAGATACACACCTCCATTTTGGATTGCACTGAACACTGGCAATGGCTACAACAGCTTCTTCCTTTTGATAAAAGACTGAAGCACATCCATTCACCAATTAAAAGCTCTGCAAATGTTTCACAAATTACTTTCAGAAATCTGTTCTGGTTGATGAGTTTTTCCATCTCTATAAAAGTATTTACCAAATGATTCAATATTCGAGATTTCCCTAGTGCAATCAACACAGGAGGGGGGAGCCTTTCACATAATAATGACACTATATTACAGATACAAGACAAACCCCTCCTTTCCCACTGAACTCACAGAGAATGCAGAATTTGGGCTACAACATGCATTCTATGTCCATCAATACCAAACAGAAAGGAAATAATTCCTTACAGTTTTTAAACAAGAGAACAGAAATTCAGTAACACATATTGTGTTATGGTTTCTTATAGTGCCATCACCTTAACATCTAAGTGCTTCACAGGTAAATAGGTAAATTCCATCTGCAGAACAAGAACCAGTGTTAAAAATCTTTCAAAAAAGACTCCGACATCCAGTACTCTGGATGGGCGAGTTTTAAAATGAACTACATTAGGGCATACTCTTGTGGTGGTTGGTGAATATTCTGAAGGGGCCAAAAAAAATTATTAAACAAACAGGTGCCATACAGCTCAGTTTAAACAGCACGTTCTTCCAATACAAGATACGTGCTGCAATTAACACACATCCATAATAGTTTTTTCTTCTAGCAACAACACAAGGATGGCTGTTTCTAGTGAGTAAATTGCACCCATGGAAGGACCAGACATACATCAGCTGCAACTCAGAACTTGTCTCTCATACTATTTCATCCTAACAAGTCTCCCAGTCACTCCTTCACTCTCCTAAGTCTTTTGTGGCTGCCTTAGCCTAAACTTACCAATAAATCATGGTAAATTATATAAAGTTTAACTTCTGAGACACAATAACTCCATTACAACAGATGATGTAATTTTGTCTTCTGTTTTGAAAGGAATTTTAATATATTCAAGACTTGTGTGTCTGGATTTCACTGAAATAAATTAAGTTAAGCAAGGTTTTGCCTGTTTCTTAATACACTGGAGTATCTCTCTCAAATGTGCTCCTTTCCCAGATAAACATGTAAAGCTGTCTCAAGCAGTTGGTCTCTCAAGATTTCATTTGGAAGTATCTGAAGAGGTTGCAGAAGGCTAACAGGTCACATCAGATAGCTTTGGCCCTATTTTTATGTTTAAAACCAACCTTTTCTTAAAAAAAAAAAAAAAGGAGAGAGAGAGAGAAAGAGAGAGAGAGAGAGATCAGCTGCAGACTATTTGGTTCTGATTAAATACAGGACCATTATTCTATAAGTGCAGAGCTATTTAGAAAGCAGTACTATTGGGCATTACTATCATTGTACTTGTTGCTACCTTGGAATGCTACAGGAGTCCTCCTCTTTCTCTGACCTTCAAGGCCATAGCTACTGAAGTGACCAGTAGGAAAAACGTAGGGCAAAGAACAGGTGGGAGAAAGTTAATTTAAGTGGAATACTGCACAACCAAATGTAACTCTAGGGTACAGGAGTAATCACATCCACTCACCATACCAATTATTTTGAGAGAGTTCACTTCTGAAGCACTGAATCTTTCAACTCACCAGTGTATTAACTATGCATGCAACTAACAGCTACCATTCAAAAAATTATATCATAAAAGATCCCAATCCTAAAAACATATGTTTGAGCCAGAAACAAACGCAGTATTTGTCAATTTGGCAGCTGCAGATTTCCGTAAAAGTACAAAAGAGATCTGACCTATCGCAATATGGTGCATTTTTTCTTAAAAATAAAAATAAAAGCAAAAATAGAGTAGAATAGAAGGCAAATTCTCAGATTGCCACACTCCTGAAAAAGAAATTCATCCTGGTACAGTACGAAGAGGAACATTAACACCACAAGAAAAGGCACTATATAAAAGAGTCTAACTGTGGAACATATGCAGTAAAGATGGAGGATAGCCAAAACATTTCCAAAAGAACATTGTGTATTTGATTTAGAATGCAAATAGAAAAAGGAAAGATTTGCCTTACAGTTTACTGCCCTGCCAGGTTCCACAATGAAATGTACTTGGTTTTAGTATTTATCATGCTTTGAAATAGTGAAAACTGTTTACTAATTCACAGTCAACATTTCACTGCCTATAAAACCAGCATTTTATGTCTGATAGTCTATATTTAATATACAATAATAAACTGCCTGGAGTTTTATTTAATGCACGATGCTTCAAAGTCCTTCCAAATGCACAGCAATATCTATACACAATCTATATAGAGGCTCTGCAAAGCCAGACTCTTAATTTAGTATATCTTCAGCTACTCCCTGTTCAAATAAAGTACATTACAGGATATGTTGAGAATTCTTGGGTGGATTTAGCCTATACTATAAATGTAGCAGTCACATAGCAAACTTCCACAGACTTTTCTCAAAATAGCTACAGTGCAAGATGTATTTAACTTTAATGAAGACAATGTTTTAAGAGGATATTATAAATAATTTCATATGCAACACTTATCTGTGGTACAATGATGGCTCTTTACAAAAAGGATACTTAAATTATTATTCACAGGTGTTAGCATAGCTTCTGAACACTGATTAAGCATCATTGTTATAAGAAGAGGTGTTTACATTTTCTCAAAATTTGCACTCTAACAGTGCTTCCTTTTCATGCACACAGCTTTCAAGTTATAGCCCAACAGTACTGGAATTTTAGAGTTTTGGTTTCTCTTCTAACTGGGAAAAGAAGTTCCAAACAAGCCATTCCCACTCCCATCAGGCAGAGGTAAACCCAATTCTCTCTCACAGATGCAGTCAGCCAGAACAGACATATCTGCTTAAATGAAACATGCCACAGTAAATGATGACACTTGACCTCCAACTACAGAGATCTTGTTTGCTTACTAGAGGAAACCCAGGAGTCTGATTATATGTACAGAATGATTTACATTCATGGGGCAGAACACAGGGTAAGTTCTGAACAACATGTACTAGTGCAGCAACAGAAGCCAATTTATTCTAGCAACATTTTTAAATGTCCAAAGAACTGCTATTCAAATAAGAACAAGAAACATGTTTCTGTTTTTAAAACATCCTCAAAGAATACAAAACATAGAGGACAGGTAGCACATTAATGGAAAATTACAGACATCTTCCAGAAAGAGTGAAAAATCTTGGACTGTGATTAGTTTAATCATGCTCGTATAAAGATTGCATCTGTTATTAGTGGATATATATTTATATAATCTAAATGTTAACACATCACTGAATTAAAGACTGCCTCTGAAGGCAGAAGACTGTTGACTAAACTTGTTGAAAATAATGTTAAAATAGAAAACTAATGTTTGAGGGCAAAAAACACAGCCTAATACAAATGTCAAATAACGGATTACATGCAATGCACACAAACTTTGGACTTGAATTTCAATGCATAATCCAATCCAACCATCTGTCGACCAGTTGTGTAGCAAAATCAAGATTTGGGGCAAGCTCCAAAAAGGACAGCCAAGTTACATTATTCTATCTACAGTATTTTGATACTTAAGAACATCTCCGCGGTAATTACATTCTGTCTGCAGATTAACCTACAGGAGCTGACACTCGCGTCCCTGACCAGAGACACATTACAATGGATTCCCAGATATCTAAAAATCAACAGATATTTTGCCTGATGTACATCTCGTGATTGTGATACAGGTCTGAGAAGAAAAATGCAGACTTTGCTACTATGACCTTTATACATGTTAGCAGGATCGCTAGAGACTTGTCCTTTCCCCAATAACTGGGAAAGCTTCCAGCAGATTCATAACCGAGGGAGCCCCCCGTTCCCTGTCCCCATCTTCCAGCAGCAGGAGTAGTGAGAGTCAGGCAGCTCCGGGATGAATACAGGGTTACGATTGCAAAGTTAACGTTGGAGCAAGAGGGAACCTTTTCCCCCCATGGAGATGCCCCGTACAACCCCGGTGCAGCGAAGGCCACTTCCCCAAGGCAGGAGCTGTAATAAGTTCAACAGTCCTCCCCCATCTCATAAACATTGCATCCGCAACAGCCAGGCACAGCAACACCACGCCGGGAGTCAGGGCGTAAGTGGCACATCAGCTCAGAGACGGACACAAGCCTCTCCCTCGCAGAGTAGCTAAAGGCAAATCTGAAACCCCAGGGATGGATGGGGTGTGTGTGTCTGGAAATACCTACAGATCCCCTGGCTTTAAAGGGCTGGAGAGTCACAATCCCCCTTCCCTCCACCCCTCGAAACACAAAGAAAACCGGTGGGGGGGGGTGATGGAGACCCCTGGACGCAAGTGCCTAAGAGCCCCCCTCTCAGCCGCTACTGGGTGGCAAACCCCACTCCAGAAAGAGATTTCCCTTGAATTCATCATTCACAAAAACAACAGCGCCTTTTCCGCGCCTTCCCGTCTCCATCGCACTCCGGAGAGCACCGGGAGCAACTGACTGGGACACGCCGAGCCAGCCACCACAGGGGCTGCCTGGCTTTCTGCACCCCCCGCGCAGAGACACTAGTTGATTTCCCCTTGGCAAAGACAAAGTGTAACCAGCCTGTGCCCAGCCCCGTGCGCTGCTCGCGAGGCGCTCTCTGGCTCCCAAAGAGTTGGCAAGTCTGTCCGCCCTATCGGGAACGTGGGGCTGGCCCCACGCCTCTCCGGTGCAGCGCCCCTCACCTCCTTGAGTTCCTTGGCCACGTCTTTCAGATCCCCCAGGACTAATTCCAAATCCTCCACGATGATCTTGATCTGTTCCTTCACCTTGGCTTTGGAGGCTGCGGGCGGCCCCTCGGGTGGCGAGGAGGAGGCGGGGGTCCCCTTGGACTTGGCTGACATTCTTTGGGGGAGCGATGTGTGGGGAGGGGGTATGCAGGTCAGGAGAGCTGGGTAACCAGCGGGTGCCCGGCCCCGTCCCTCGGGCTCCCGGAGCTGCTGCAGCCGCTGTCTTCCTCCCCGCACATTTTGGGCTCAGGGCTCCGCCACGCTCCGCTCTCCGCCGGGTGGCTGCACCGCGCTGCTGCCATCAACTCCCCGGGATCTGCACTGAGAGCGCCCGGGCTGCAGACGGGCGGACGATGCGCCTGCGCCTGGCTCCCTCCCTCCCGTAGGCACACGCGCACGCACAGGGCATGCCGCTCACTGAGGGGAGAGAGCCGGGGTGGGGGGAAGCCGTGCGTGCGATCCCCGCTGTGCCCACCCCGGCAGCCTGCCTGGCTCTCCTCCGACCTCCCGCCACGGGTTGAGCCTAAGCCCACAATCCCCGAGCACGCACTTCAGGACCGCTTGGTCCAGACAGGGGGGGGGGGGGGGGGGGGGGGGGGGGGAAGGGGGGGGGGTTTTTTTACGCAAAACTTTCCCCTTTTTATCTTCTCTGTGCAAAGTCGCCCGGAGGAAGGGATCTGCCCGGTTCCTCTCCACTACCCGGGGTCAGATGATTCCCCTTTACAAGTGCATTGGGGGAGAAGGTGTGAGTGCGTAAGAGACAGGAGAGGAGGAGGTAGTTACAACTCCTCTAGAGGAGGCGCTTCCTTTGCGGCGCACAGTCTCTGCTTGGAGCGCTGCGTGCCGTTGGAATGGCTGGATCACGCTTGCAGGCGACCGGTCCGGCAGTGGTTATTTCGTCTCTTTCACGCTACCCAGCGGGAGCTTCTCTGCGTTAGTTCAGGGTCAGTTTTCGCCACCTCCCAGACACACACAAAATATCCAGCAAAAGCGAAGCACTTTTACACACCGCCGGTGCCTGGCAAAACTCCCCCCAGACGATCGGGTCTGGTTCTGCTGCTTACAGAACATTAATTGTGGGCATGAATCCCCCGTTCTCAGCCCTGTAGATTTCTTGTTCTGGCCCTAGTCTCTGCAGCCCGATCTCCTTTAAAAGGGAGAGACCTACAGCACCTGTAACAATGCCACCTGACTTTCTTTTTCCTCCTAAAAGCTGCAAGGAGGCTGGAGATTTGCAAACACCACCAAATTGGCAGGAGGGACCTCGGTCTTTATTCAGTGATTACATGAGGTACAATAAGCCCTTTTAACTCGAGAAACAAAACCTATGCATTTTGCCAGGTAGCGAGGAAAGAGGGTACACGAACGAAAATAGCCCTCGATTGCTTCAATTCAATAGGTACAATTAAGGGCAGGGCTTTCTCCACACGTTGCTGTTTGACTTCAGCATTTAATTTGCTGGGGCTGAGGGAGAGAGATTATCAGATATTCACCTCTAGTGGTTTTTCCACTTATTGCAAGACGACGTCATGTCCAGGCACTGGAAATTGTATTACGAATTTCTATCTTCAACTTCAGCTGAAAACAGCCAGCAGAGGCAAACAGCCAAGCCCTGCGTCGAAGATCGGCCTGGAGGGTTGCATCTGGTTTAGAAATCTTAAATGCTTCCCTTTCTGAGGGGATTTCTCGCAGTTTGCTGTGTTTTAACTTAGCAGCAGGAAAGAAAAGGGAAAGAGCAAATACATCGCTCAGAGCTCCGTGTGTGCATAACATTTCAGATCTCACCCGATGCAGACAAGTGGGTGGTGAACAGTTCTGTGTCTAGAGTGGGTGTGGGGCTGGAATAAGGAATCGACACAGGCTGAATTGCAAACTCCGCTACCAATGTAGGAAAGCTAGCTGTCCTTATTCAGGAGGTAAAAATGCCATTGGGAGTTTTGTCCGTAGAAGAAATCACTTAAAGGATTTATTAGTGTTGGGCAAATACGATTTTTAATAAAAGTGTTTTCCACAGGCATTCATTAGAATCTTTAAATAATTTCACGGTGGCCCTGTTCACACCCAGTGCATTCACTTTCCCTAAGTATTTAGGCAATCTGGTTTAAGCGCGCACACACACTCATACTCTAGGAAAGCAATGTTAAGATTCATTTTCTGGAGACATTCACGCTGGAAACTTGATTTTTTGCTTATCCAGTCAGCAAACAGGAAAAGATACCATATGAGTTGACGGACTATTCTTCATTAAGCATTACACCTTGAATCTCAGATTTTGAGTTAAGAGCCACACTAAACAAATGTCAAGGGGAAAAACAGCAAAAACTGTTTCCTGGTTTCAGTGATTAATCCATTTGAGAAGTATTGCTCTATTTGTATACATTCTCTGAAGAGAAGAGTACCAAAGTCTATCAAAACCTATTCATGTAGATTTTGTGTAACCCCACTTAGAATTAAAAAAAAGTCACTGTAGTTGCACAGTTGTATAGAAATAACTCAAAATTACTAAATAGGAATAGATTGTTGGTTTATCTATTCACTTATCTTTTCTCCCACAGTGTTTAATTCCAGATGTGTCAAAGAAAGGCATAAATTCCCTGTCGCTTATCTGACATTACTAAAGTTATGAAATGGCTGGGTAGTTTCCTTGTGATTTCAGTTTCTTACAGCTTTTTTTTTTTAAACACACACACACACACACACACACACACACACACAAATATTGTACCATTAGCAATTTTTTTCACTTCAGCCCCCTGTTTGGGGTTGTAAATATATTAAGTCATACTGATCTCTCTGGCAGCTGCTTATTAAACATTTCTACTCTGAAAAGACAGAATTTTATTCCTACTTTACCTCAGTCAACTTGTTTTAAATCATGACAGGACTTCACTTTATGCAAGTTAGCCCGCAGATACTTTGTCCAAAGACTTTTGAAGAGATGAACCATAGCCACTGATTCTGTCTCTACAATTGTATTAACTTTTTCAAAGTATTTTAAGGTAGAGAGACATGAGTTGTCCTGAGAGGAGTTGGACGAGCTTGTCCCTAGTATATTGTCCCTATTATATTCATCCAGTTGTTTATAGTTTTCCTGTAATGGTTTTCTCTGGTATTGAACTAAGGGTCCATGTTCTATAATTTTGGGGATCAGTCTTAGCACTTATTCAAAGATGTGTGTCCAGGACTAATCCTCATCTCCTCTTCCCGGACATGGCTCTTTTAAAATGAGCCATTAAATATTTTTGTTAGTAGCTCTGCCACTTAGGGTTTTGTTTTGTTTGTTTTTAATTCCTTCTAAATGTCTAGATGAATGTCCTAAGGTTTGTTACAGTTTAATCCCTTACATTCTTTCATCATCTCTTTGAAATCTTTTTCTAATCATACCTCACTTTTACCTGTAAATAGGCTTGGTAGAATTAAATTATATAGAAGTGATGGATAATATAGATGTTTATTTCAGTTATCAATTTGTCTTCACAGGTATGCACAATTATGAGTTAAGCATTTTTAATCAATTTGTCACAGTTGCAATAAATTAAGGGATGAATGGGGGTCACACTGATTATTTAATGACAACAGACGTTGAGATTCAAAAAGTTAAAGCTTTATAATCATTAACACAAATTGTCAACATCATGTGTACAGATATTAGTTTCAATTAAGGCTATTTACTTTGTATAAGTTCTCAAGCAGCATTTTTCTTACTTTGCCTACCTATAACTTTGTTGGTTTGTGTGTGGAGGTAAAAAATTGACATTTACGGATTTAAAAAAATTCTTCAATAATCTAGAGTGGAATTCATCCATCATCTTCTAAGGAAGAAGCTCATTTCTTATTCCTCTTTGGTTTGTCACCTTTTCACCCACACAGGTTTGCACACTTGTGAGATTGTGATAGGCCCTTGGGAAGTTACCTAGAACCAGGGATGCACAAGAAGCCACCTCCACAACATTCTCAACTCTTCACAGTTCACAAAATGGCCAGTTACAATAGTAGTACTGCTAGCAGGGAGGAGGTTGGAGACAGGGCCATGTTGCAGCGGCCATGGAGCAGAGCTGCTAAACCCTAGAGAGCAATCTCTCCTCATACCCTCCGAGGGCTATGTAGCTCCACCTCAAATCCCACAGAGGATTTTGTGCAAACTGGTTCTTTTGTAAGTTTCTTAATGAATTTCTTAAGATGGAGGGGAGAAGGTTCCTCCTGGACCAAGTTTATTTTTCTTAAAAACTAATTTCCATTTACCTGGGGAAGTTTTCTCTGAGCAAAAACAGATTAAGAAGTTCAAGATTCAGCACATAAGTTTTCATTCTGGCACTACTTTGTGCTCCATACTAGAAAACAATTAAATGAATACTCAATGAAGGAACATGGCACTCAGCCATACCACTGCCAGCGGTGATCTCATTAAAGCACACAAGTTAAGCAGGGTTAGGTATGATGAGTAATTGAATGGGACACTAAAGAAAAACCAAGAGGTTGCAAGAGTTTGTTTTGATAACTCAATTAGATGGCACTTTTCCTTTGGAGTTCGAGCTGATCCACTGTTTCAGCATTGTGCTAAGGAGTAAAGCCAATTGAATAATACTAAGATGATTAATGAATACAAGCAGCAAGTCCAATTTGCAGTTATTTGTGAGGTCATATCCACTGTTTGAGAACATTCAGGTAGTCATGGGTATTTGTGAAAATGTTCATGAATCACACTACACATTTTTTGCACAAATCATTATCACATGGACAATTCACATTGAAAGTGCAGTACAAGTTATTAATCAGTCATTTGCCTATTTAAAGAGAACAGCATCAGGGAGCTCATACAGTACTACGTATGATACATGCATTCATAATAACCAATCGTGTACTTTATATAGTCAAAGGGAAACTACAGTAACTCCTCACTTAACGTTGTAGTTATGTTCCTGAAAAATGTGACTTTAAGCGAAATGATGTTAAGCGAATCCAATTTCCCCATAAGAATTAATGTACATGAGGGGGTTAGGTTCCAGGGAATTTTTTTTCACCAGACAAAAGGCTAATATACACACACACACACACACACAGTATAAGTTTTAAACAAACAATTTAATACTGGTACACAGTGATGATGTGAAGCTTGGTTGAGGTGGAGGAGTCAAAGGATGGGATATTTCCCTTACTGCTAAATGATGAACTAGCAATTGGGGGGAGGGGGACACCGTGACATTAGCCCTCCCTCTTCCTTCCCTCTCCCCTGGCACAGCAAGCAGGAGTCTCCTGGAGCAGCTCCAAGGCAGAGGGCAGGAGCAGCACATGGCAGTGGGGGGAGGGACGCAGCTGAACCGCAGGCAGCTGCTGCACAGGGAACTTAGGGGAGCGGGGGAGCTGATAGGGGGCTGCTGGTCCACCCTAGTTCCAAGCCCCCACCAGCTCGCTCCAAC